GAAAAGAATAGGAAAGATCACAGTGTGTTTCCTCTGAAGAAGTGAGGAAAAGACAGTATAAAAAGGAAAGTGTCCCTTTATTTGTATAATACCAAATATCCACAATGAATGCTAGCTTTCAGAGCTCCAAGAAATATGTGACAGTTAAAGCTACTTCTTTTATACGAGAGCTAAAATTACTTGTGTCAGCACATGAGCAAACCACTAAAACTGTCAGAGGTCAGAAGAGGTTTCCTCCATACAGAAGTACAACAGAAAAAATCATAATGCGGGATTTATTTGTTTCACTTTCTTTGGTAAATTGCCTCTAAAGAACATGATGCTAGTGAGTGCATCACAGACAATGATCATCTTAGCAACCCAGTCGTCTGGGTGTTTTGTCTTGTTCTAGTTGAGGAAAGAGCCAACTACCCAGCTAGGTTCTTGTGTCTTTTTTACACTGGGATTGACAAAGCAGATAGTAGCCCAGGCAGAAAAAGTTCTCAAAAGGGAGTAAGTGCAAACTTTAGCCTCATCCAGCCTCATTTATTTTGTCTATTGAAAAAGTCAGAATTGGAGGAATTCTTGAAAATTTGGTATTTGGCACATTGGAAAAGATGACATTACATCTAAGCAAACTTTTCAAGAATGCTGCACTTAAGAAGGTGTTTAAAAGTTAAAATTGATTTATGCCCTGAATAAATCAGGGCTGCATCACTCAGAGCAATATGAAGAAAACATTAGGAATGCAATGGCAAAACAGACTCTAAGTCTATTACACGTGACTGCTTTGCTAAATCCTGTGCCAGGTACCTACAAGTCAGTGCTCCGTCTTATCCCACAGTAATCATAGGATCCTAGAATTCTCTATGTTGGAAGGGACCTTTATGGTCATCGAGTCCAATCATCAACATAACACTGATGAAACCATCACTAAACCATATTGCTAAGCAAGATTTCCATCCATTTTTATTTCCTTCTGTGCACAGATTACCTCCAAAAGCTACCACTCCATCTTTACTAGACATTTGCTGACCAGCAATAGTGGCTCCGTTGCCACCCTTCCTTGATTTTTCATCCTAGACCCAGTTTTTCCCTCTGCAGACAAAAGGTATAAATTTGCTTCCCAAGAGCATAAATAGAGCATCTCACCCACTTTAGAGCCAGTGGTCCCCGTGGTGAAGGCAGCTGGGAAAAGCAGCTATCTTTCAGCACTGAAAGTCTGCAATCCCTACTATGAGCTTGACCCTCTTATAAGTGTCTTATGAAGCGCCATCCCTCAGCTTCGATCAAGGTCACCTCAAGCAATCCCACCCTCCTCCGTTTCAGCAATATTCCTGGCTACGGAGCATGAGAAAGGCTCACACATTTTGGCTTACCATAAGAAATGGGGCAAAATAGAATATCACCTCCACTCACTTCTCTATGTCCTAGATAGACCAGCTGCAAAGTCCATACCACCCAGAAGAGAGAGTTCAGCTCTTACCTGTCCTGCTTTCTCTCTCTCAGGCAGAAGCTGAGGTAGATGCTCATCTGAGACACCGGCATTTATGCAGAGCTAATATAGTGATAGCAAGGGGTCAAAGGTCCTGCTTTGTTTCTCCATTTGCTCTTTTGCAAGCAGATCCAGCTCAGTGGGACAGGCAAGAAGCTGTTGAGGACTCTGGACCTGTTATTGAGATTTGGTAATGGAGGGTCAGTCTGACCTGAGAGACGTGGAAGGCAGCTCCTGGGTCACTGAGTCCCCCACAGGCAACCATGTCATAGAGACCCCTTTCATAAGTTGACCAAATTCCACATTAACAGTAGCTAGAGCTGGGCTGAATTTTGCTCCCACTGTTCCTGTAGGAAGGCTTGTGCTGTAACCTCACTGCTTGGACAGCTGGAATTTATTTGTGGCTACCATGCTCACTTGTATTTTACTCTCCATTTCCAACAAATGCATTAACCAAATGGTGCACAGGGGTAAGCGTTCACCTCTCTCATATTTCTTCTTTCCCCATGTCCAAGCCTTTTTGCTCAGGCTGACAAGATGGGCATACATCTGAGCCAGCTGTCAAAACTTGCCCAGAAGCAGCGTCCAGCTCCGGGGACACCAGCATAGGAAAGACATGGACCTGTTGGAGTCGGTCCAGAGAAGGGCCATGAAAATGATCAGAGGGCTGGAGCACCTCTCTTATGGAGACAGGCTGAGAGCTGGGGTTGTTCAGCCTGGAGAAGAGAAGACTCCAAGGAGACCCTATTGCAGCCTTTCGGTACTTAAAGGGGGCTTATAGAAAAAGACAGAAAAAGAATCTTTTTACTGAGGCCTGTAGTGACAGGACAAGGGGAAATGGTTTTAAACAGGAAGAGGGTAGATTTAGATTGTATATAAGAAACTCTTTATGAGGGTGGTGAGACACAGGAACAGGTTGCCCAGAGAAGTTGTGGACATCCTGTCATTGGAAGTATTCAAGGTGAGGTTGGACAGGGCTCTGAGCAACCTAATCTAGTTGAAGATGTCCCAGCTCATTGCAGGGGCAGGGTAGACAAGACAATCTTTAAAGGTCCCTTCCAAAACAAACCATTCTATGATTCTATGAAAACTTCTCCCAGGCTTCCTGGGGACTGGTCCCAGTCAGAAAGTGGCTGCTCTAGGGCCTGTTTTCCCATAGCTCAAGTTCCAAGTGCCCACTGGGCCTTCAGTCAGGTCAACCATCTGCATGTGGCACGTGCAACCACTGAGCAACAGGGGGAAGAGACAGAAAGGCTGCAACACTGACCTACAAAGGTAAGAGGAATGGGGAGGACATGAGGCATAAATTAAGCCTACTGTGTGAGACCCAACAGACGTCTGTTCTTACGTCAGCTGCTTATTTATTAGGTGACTGTCACACGTGGAAAGTCTGACAAGCTCAGCCAGTATCTTCATTTACGAATGAAACAGAATTTCTAGAAGACTTTTCTTCTCATGGAGCTCAAAATACTTTAGAATCAAAGAGAAGCATTCTCATTTTACAGACATGAAAGCCAAGTCAGCAATTGCTGCATTACAGAGGGCTGCCAATGGTGTCCCAGACATTTTCCCACTCTCTTGATGACCATTTATTCAAACTGTTATTTCTTAGATATGGAAAGAAAAACATTTTCCAAAATAAGATGAACAAGAAAAAAACCCCCATACAAGCAAACCATTTTTCTTTTTTGTCCAAAAAAATATCAACAGAAAATCCTTACTAATGTATAACAAGACTAATTCCAGAAGTAAGAACTGAGAATTTTCAGTTCCACTTCTGGTGCAAACACTAAAAAGCAATGTATCGTCTAGGAAGAACACACAAGAGCAACTGGTTGAAAGTTCTGATATTTTAATTATACATTTGACAGTCATTAAAGAAAATCTACACATTTACCGTCTGCTTTTACAGCTGGAATAATATTCAGAAGACCAGCACAAGGCACATTAGAGGTATTAAACTTAGCAGTAATAGCAAACAGCAGTCATTACTTGTGGGGGGTTAATTTAATAAAACCTCAAGTATCATCTCTCTCCTATGTCAAGTCGACAAATGGAAGGCTCTAGCCATATTAAGTGGGTGTTTTAAACTGATGGGCTGCTTGAGGTAGTAACACAGAGGGCACTTAACTACCCCGTGTAGTAACACGTACTGCTGAAGAGCTTTGCATTGTGGTCCTTATCACACAAGGTAACTTCCCCCCCGCCAAAGTTAACCTAACTTTAGCTTGTGCTATCGTGAATACAATCCCAGAGATAGAAACTGGGCATTTCAGCACTTTCTACTGCCAAACAGGCACTTGCCAAGACCAGATCAATGATTGCACAAGAATCAGCCCTTGCCCTCCATTCCTGGAAGGCCATTCCAGAATGGCAGGGCGCTCTACAAGTAAGCAAGAAAGTCAGATATTACAAGTCCTGTCTTAATCAAAGAAAAATTACATGGTTTTTTTTATCTCTCCTATGAATCTCTGGTCTGAGGTGGAAAGCAGCTGGCAGGAGCAGCACGGGCATCCTTATCTGCCCCATGTGGCATGGTTACTTACTCATGACATTATTATTTTAAATTAGGGTAACTCTGGTGGCTATCAAGGCACTTTATGTGAGACAGAAAATTCATTCTTGGGGGTAAGGGATCTTCCCTCAGCTGCATAGCAGGAAGAACAAAAGTCTAGAATAGGAGCAACTCTCAAATGTAAAACATATGCAACTTTTTTTCGTCATAAATGAGCTGATGTACGAACATTAGCTCTTTGGAATGGCTGAAAAATTAAGCATGAATACATTACAACCTAGAAAGAACAAGGCTAGGCTACTTCCTACTGTTATTTCTTTCAGCGTGCAGTGTTTGAGCTGCTCAATTGTCTCTCCCTTTTGAAATGTCAAAGACCCTGTAATCTTATTGGAAAAAAAGAGTCCACATAGTATTGTGCAGTGCTGTCACAACGGCTTTCATTTATGGCCAATTAAAAAGAGAAATAAGCATTCAAAGCAGAGCCTATTTCCTTCCCACTTTTCTGTCTGCTTGCAGTTGTAAAGCATGCGGATATAGATTTCCTTTGTCATTATTTCACAGCCCACCAACTGGTGTTTTATGAACCACAGTGGTCTGTGGACCAGTAAACCTGGTACCATTTCTGCCTCCCTGCTGGATAACCTAATCTACTTCTGTCACAATTTAAGAAGCTACAGAATTAAGACTGAGATACAATCTATTTTCCCTGAAGAATTTTGTTTAATGTTTCTATAAATATGAACAAAGTGACTGAATAGGAGCTCAAGTATGATAACGATAAAACTCTTCAGACTTCACACAGCACAAATTGTGCAAATTCACACAATCTACAATTAGTCACCCTAGCTCAATCATGGGGACTAGAGGAACAAATAAAAATGAAGGGCTCCTTTACAGGATTTAGATAAAATAACCACAACCTTTGCAGTTAGTATGCTCATACTACAGCTTCAACAGCTGCTACTGTTAAACAAAGCCATCTAGGTTTTCTTGTGCTCATACTACAGCAGCAAGCTTCAACAGCTGCTACTGTTAAACAAAGCCATCTAGGTTTTCTTGTGTGAATTGTGCGAAGGGGTTCTTGCTCATGGGCAAACTTGCTGGACATGTGTTGGCTTATAGACACTTGAATGTGAAGGTAAGTGAACTCTTTCCCATGCTACTTTTTTGGGATCTCAAGTGATGTCTCACTTGTTTTAGGATCTCAAGTGATGTCTCAATAGCTTCTGGTCTTGATGGAGAAAGGGGTAGCCTTTCCCTGAAACCTGAACATTTGGGCTGGGTTGAGATGACAGGAAGACGAAGTTGTCCTGCATGATTTATGGACCTACTGGAAGCATAAGGAGAGAGTCAAATTCCAAGCCACTAATTCAGCTTCCACGGGGAGAATCTGCAGAGCCCTGGGTATGTTGCCAGGGTACAATGCTAAAGTCAAACCAGGGTGCTAGTTTTGGAAGAAGGAGCCCCCTATTATTTTTCATCAGTGCAGTCACTATAAATTCCTCTTAACTAAAAACATACTAGCCTATCCTAGATAAGAGGGGGTGCATAAAACCCTCAGCATGTCATTAAATAAGAATAAAAATTATTCACAGCCAGTGACTGAGAACCAGATTCAAGAGTGATGCTGGCTATGCAAATTCTGCGAACATACTTAATTCCCTATATTTCAGATGTAATCCCCAGATATTTCAGATGGGTCAGTTCACATATTCATAGTCTGGGTCTAATGCAGACAAGGATTATGCTTAATACAGCCTTCCTTTCTTGAATTAAAATTTTGAAGTTGGTTCTTTAGCTCTTCTAGCTTCGTTTTGTGCTAGCCACCAACTGGTGGTGAACAGCCCCTCTGTCTTCAAAAAGTAGGCCTCTAGTTCTGAAACAAAGCCAACCAGAGAAGCTAGTGGGTCCTCCTGCTTCATCTCCATACACAGGAATTAAAAGTAAGCACTGTCAGCCAAGAAACTGTGGGAAAATGAGCACTCTGTTGTAGTAGTCTTTGGTTGACCAGCAACTGCATTGGATATCCAGCTAGGAGTATTTGCTCCAAGTGTGATGCTTCCCATCATTGTCCAAAGGAAAGAAAAAAAGGAAGTGGGCAAAGTGAAAGTCTCTTCAAGTCAGTCTTCAAAGGGAAAGCATAAGTACATCAGTAATTGGGACATTAAAAAACAAACAGTAGCAAGTGTCCCATGCGGCACTGGTTGGGAAATAAGCTAGGCAGCACAGTCATTGATACTGGCCAATCTCTAGTGCCTCTGGGTTACAAAATACTTCACATGGTCCTCCAAAAGCTCCTTTGAGTTTCTTGAATCCAAGAAGTGCCTTTGGCAAGCCAGTTTTCCGTGGAAGAAGCCAGCACCCAGTGAACCTCTTGTTTTCCACCACATGTTAAATGAAAACAGTGGATGAGTCACATCAAGGAGAAATGGCAAGTTGTTCTCCTTTACAAGTGGTCTCAGTGCACACAGAAATTCTGTGTTCTAATTGGAAGGTAAAAGATGAGAAAACCCTGCAATCTAGCTACAGATCAGATGCACCACGTATGCAGGAGTGGTATAAATGTCAGGGTAAAGATCAAGGACAAAAGTAAAAACGGTGACTGTGTGACTTCTTCACAACCCTTTATCCCACCCCATGTATGTGATACATGGCACAGAGAGAAAAGGCAGAAATTAAATCTACGGAAAAGAGTACCTGGCTTAAGAAAGATATATCCACAAAAGTCACGCTTCCTAGAGTTCAAAGAAATTCTGGTCCATGGTGTAAGGGAGAGTAGTGATGCCTTGTACAGTCTCTGTAAGGATGGCCAAACCTTGGTAAATTTAGCCCTTTAAGTTTACAACTAAATTCAAGTCTGGGTTAAAGGCTAGAACAAGTATCTTTTAAGGCACTAAGGTCTAAGCTTAAAGTAGGGCAGTTTGTTTCAGTCAGTATATAAGCTGGTACATAAGCTGGCAATTTGCAGATGTGCCAGTGAGCTCTTATTAAGGCAGTCAAATATCCTTCCAACATTGTGATCCCTCTCTTTGGGAGAGAGGCTTACTGGGAACAAAAGGAAGCAACTGCCCAACTATGCTGAGCAGCCAAGAAGAAGCAGCAAACATTACACATTGTGAAGCACAACAGAAGGCCTAAGAAAGGAGATGCTGTGCCTCCCTATGCCAAGCTCCCAGGGGACCGGAATAGGTGACCTACAGAGGCCTCCTCCAACCCAGATTATTCTACTGTTCTGTGACTTTACAACTCTGTGATCATCGGAGCCATTCTTCAGTAACTGGTGTGCAAAGGACCAGCATTCTATGGACTGGGCTCCTTGCAGTGCCAGGGCAACTAACAAAGACAACTGGTATCTCTCTTTAAAGACTAGGAATACATCATTTACTAAAAAAAAAAATCTGCTGTTTCTGTTGAATGTCTTCAACAGACCACAAGAATAAAAAGGAGTTATGTATTGCTTTCATGGCCACTAGACATAGATTCTTCAGAGTTACAAGTCTAAAGGGAAGCAGCTTCATCTGTTTTTTTGCTGGTTGTCGGTTCAATCAAAAGCAGCCATCCCAACATACATAGTAGAAAAGCTAATAGGAGTCCGGTGGGAATCTTAGTTCTTTCAGTAGTGGCATTAAATGACTATGCTTCTTCCACTGTGGGAACTTCCTCTGTCCTGCAAGAGAAAATAAAAGATTCAGGAACAAGAAAGGATGAATGGAAATCCTATGTCTTTCTACCTGCTCTGAGCACCATAACAAAACCATTCATACATACACACATCCCAGCTGAGACTAGAACTGCACTTCATTCCAAAACTCATAAGGGAAAATGGTAATGTGCAAAATACAGCCCTTTGAGAAGACTCCCACCTGGTAAAATACCGCATATATGTAATAAGGGACACTTAACTTCTTTGTCATTCTAAAAAAACCTTCATTCTTTAAGGGGAAATACACTGTCTAACCTGGAGACTAGCAATTGAATTTAACGGTTAGGTCATACTTAGGTTGCTACCTGAAATCTAGTCCCAGTGTAAACCAATAAGATGAGCTGTGAACAATAGCTGTTCACTGCCCTTATAATGCATGTTCAGTTCTCAGGAGTCCTAAAAAGCAAGTCATCCTCTTTCACCTGGAGGATCACACATTTCTCACTACTGTAGCCACCCATGATCTTAAAGCTTATTTCACATAGCTTTAGGCATCTGGATTACCTGGATGCTTTCCCATATGAAACATCTTAAAAATATCACCAAGACACTATAAAATTAAATGTTGGAGATCAAGAATAGGAGAACCATGCACATGTTAAAAGAAATCAGAAGTAAATCAACACCAGAGAGGGTTGCAGGGGGATGCTCAGTACCACTACCTACTCTGGAAGTGGTTTCTCCCCAGGCAGTGCCAGAACAGCTATTCTAACACCAACACATACATAAGAGCCCCAGATACCTCTAGGTGGGGACAGGAGTGAGAGGGTATAACATGTCACCTGGTGGGGGATGTGATGGGGACCTACTTTATTTGATTGCTTACTTTACCCCTGAACACACTATAGCCATGCAACGCCTGTCTGAAGGCAGGGAACTCAGCAGCCTCTTAATGACAAAGATGCACAGGGCACCCCATCGTTTGAAAGACAACAGGCTGCAGAAAGTAACAAACATTCACTCTTGCTCCACAAAACCCACCTCTTCCCTTAGTTGGGAAAACAAAAAGGCAGCTGACTCACCGAGCGTGGCCCTGCGTGGTTTTTGTGCTTCTTCTCCTGACCTGGGATGACTTCTAATGAGCGATAACTGGGGGGTTTATCTTCTGGCCACTCCCGAGACCGGTGTCGCCGCCTGCGGTTTGTTGCTGGGAGACGGACTTGCTCTTCTGAGGAACTCCATGACCCCCGACGAGAAGGGGGAGAGTAGCTGTGGCGCCGCTGACCGGAGTTATTGCTCCTCCTGGTGTAGTGCTGGTACTCTGGCCTCCCTGTGGGCTCCGGTCTCCAGCCACGATGGTGGCTGGAACGCTCCTTGGCCTCCTCTGGATAGAAACTGCTGCTGCTGCTGCTGCTCTTGCCCCTCTCAGCCTGACGTGGGGGTGACACATCTCGCCTGTAGTGCTGCGGCCTGCCATTGTAGCCACCTGTCCTCTGCCTCTGAGGATGGTCCTCTCGCCGCCTGTCCCAGGGCTCCCGACTGTAGCTGGAATGAGAATCCTCATTGGAAGGCAAGGGCAACCTCCGGTTTTCCCTCCTGTCCTCTGCTGCAGAGTCCCAGGGTCTGGGGGTGTGGGCAGCTCTCTGTGGCCGTGAGGAGTTGCTGCTCCCATGGATGGAGGAGACGTGATCAGTGAGAGGAGGTGGCATGATCTCAGAGCCCAGGGAGGACAGCAAGCTGGGCTGCACTGCCTGCCGCTGGTGGGAGGGTGGCCGGAGCTGTGACATGTTCAGGTTTTGGATTTCGGACTCCAGATAGTCCAAAACACCCTTGTTAGGGAAAAGCTGAGCTTGTGGCTGCACCAGTGGAAGACTGTTCTGCAGAGACACATCTAAGGATAAAAGCACAGGAGAATGAAGGAAGTCATGGAGAAACAATAGAGGGCCCTTCTGCATAATGATCCTGGCTGAGTCACTTTTGAGCCTCTCTTCTCCTGCAGAGTCTCAAGCACTACAGCCAGCACATCCAGACCACACAAGGTAAGGTGGAAAGAGTAGTAACTAGTAAGTTGCAGCATGACCTGTGCTGTTCTGGGCAGCACAGAGGTAAGAAACCAAAGTCATCCAGCACACCTGGAAATATGTGTTTAGAGAGAGGAGCATTTTTTTTCCTACAGCACTGATACCAAATTGTATTAAAAAAAAATAAAAATCAGAGAAAGTTCATAGTCCTTCCTCTGATACCTCACTGAAGTGGAAGAAATATGGACCAATACTGCAAAAGAAAAAAGAAAATTTTATATACACATACACATACGCACACATATGTATGTATACGTGTAAGTAGCAAATGGTGGTTACTTCACTAGAAGACTGGTCCAGCTCTGGAACAGTTACGCAAAGAAGTCATGGAATCTTTCCATCCTTGCAGGTTTCCAAGACTCAGCTGGACAAAGCCACAGCTAGTGTGACTGAGGTTGGTGACAGACCTGCTTTGAGCAAGAGGTAGGACTAGATAACCTTAGAGGTGCCTTCTACCCAAGCACAGGAGATCTAAGGACTGTGAAAACACAGGCTAAGAAACTGCCTGAGAAACTTACTTGCCCACTTTCTGCCAACATGCACATGGATTTTCTTGAGAAGACTCAGTGTATTCTGTCTTAAATCATGGTGGCTGTCACCAGACCTTCCTAAGGAAAACTGGTGCCCTGGCTAGGAAAAATGGTAACTGTAGAATTAACTAGTGAACTAAAAAGGTATATACTCAAACATCTCAAATCTAGCATTTAAGATGTTTGCAAACTATTTCTTCAAGTAACAGTTAAGACTCATCAGACATAGAGTAAATCCGTGACTTCCGTATAGTGCTGGAAGGTTAATTTCAGATGACAAGTATCTTATATTTATTTGAGAAGTCATTATTCTGAATGCTCCTATTTTCCTTGGGAAATTAAATAATATTATTAGTCATAAGTTATTTAATTAATTATTTCTCAAGGCCTTCAGAGACTCTATTTTCCCTCCTCCATTAAAGTTACAAAAAATACCACTAATACAAGCAATTTGGGGGCAGAAAAACTGGAAAATTCTTCCTGGTTCACTAAAGCGTCCTTCATTTTTTGCTGCATGCAGGGTAGATCTATTGCACAGAAGGCAGTTTGCCCTTAATCATTTGAAGACTAGGCATTTGATAAGAACTCAAACAAATTGCACCTCACTTGTCATGTCAGTTTTGGCTATAAGGAGTTGACCGTGACCAGCACAGCAGAACAAAGAGACAGCACCCTCCTCTACCACATGAAGTGAGATAAGCTGGTTATATTTACCCTGCAGTCACTGGGGTGTAGCACAGATATACCTTAGTTAGTATTAAACTACTTCACCCAGCACTGAGCCTGGCAAGACACTTAAGAGGAGTAGGCTGTATTTATCCACCCAGGCAGGTCTGTAGTACACTGCAGGTGTAACATTTCTCTCTTTGGTAGTAGAGAGGCTAAAGCCTCACCTGCGGAACCGCTCTAAGAAGTTACCCGTTTCTCATCCTGATTTCCCTCTGAAATGATGCCCATGGTCTCACCTTGTTGCAGTAGGGGGTTCAGCTGGTAAGAGGAAAGTTGCGAGTTCCTGTCGGCACCTCCGTAGAACATGTTGGGTGACATCCAAGGTGCAAGTGCCTGAGCCTGCTTCATGAACTGATGCCGTTTCAGTACTGTAAAAGAAGAAGGAAGCTTACAGCAGCTAATCCAGAAAGAGCACAGCTTGCAGACCGTGTACCATTTTGCTTGATGGACTGTAGCCTTTGGATGTGGTCAGATACAGGAAATTCACAGAATGAAAAGCTCTCTCCACCCTATGACAAAGGTAAAATACAGCACAGGAAATTCCAATACAAAGTTGTACAGCTTCAAAAAGATATCAAAAAGAGAAGAAAAGGGTTACTGCTTGATATTCGGGGTACGGTTCCAGCAACTGTGAGCAAATGGCACTATGACTAAGTACACAGCACGTAACCATATGCAAGTGCTCTACCTGCCCTGTCATTACGAGTACACTTGCAGAAAGGTAAGAAATAATGCTTCAGACAGCCACACTGTTTTCTCTCTTAAAACTCTTTCAGTTCATCATTGGTCCTTTCCCCCTTTAGCTTTAATTTACAGCTAAATGAGACCTTTTTTGCTACCTTTTTGTAGGCTCTGTCCAGATCATATTTTCCACACCATACTCCATCATTTCCTCTCTGTTCCACAAATAGGGCACTCAGAGGTGCACCGTCCAGCTTCTCCCATTCTAGTCTTTCAACCACTTTTGTTGTCTCTCTGTAATTTACCACAGCATGACTACTACACTTAAATCCCTTAGGACAGTGTGGTCAAAATGATGAACAAACTAAGTTTCCTATTCTCAACAATGTCCAGTGTGCCAAAAGAGCAAACTCAGTGGAAATTTTGCTCCCTCGCTGTTTTCCCACAACTGCTCACTGCAGACCCCTACTCACGGGGTCAGGCTCCAACCCTCCTTTATTTTTTTCAGCACTTCCATCTCATTTCCTCTACTCAGACAAACTCACCATCCCTGTCTTCAAAACCATTGCTTATTGCTGCTTCATTCTGAAGAATAGCTAAAAACATCTTACAGAAACTTACTCCTTCTCCCGCAGACAATCAGAACTTAAGTTTACAAGCAAGTAAATTCTGGAAGCCAGAGTTTACAGAGCCTGACTCTGCATGGTTTGTCTGTCACTACGGCGTGAAGATTTTCTGCAACAGGGCCTTTGCAAAATTTATCTTACGTGGCTTCTCTGGAGTTTCAGAAGTGGCAGGCTTTTACTGCAGCCTCTTCTCTGGTCAGGTATGAACAGAACATTCCTGGCTATACAGTTCAGAAGACAGATAGGAATGTAATTGCCTTTGAGACTTTTACTCAAATAAATCTGGCTGAAGTTGACTGATGAAATTAAAAGCTATTGGAGGGAAGGAGACAGGGGATAGACAGACAGGTTGACTGCATAAGCTTCACTTCTTTAAGAAACCAGGCTACAGCTAAGCTCCAATTAATTCTGTCCCCTGGGTTCATCTGCAGCAGGCAGCATTTAGACTGAAAGCTCTTTGGGACTAAGCTCTCCATTTCAGGTAGCACTCTAGTTATTAAACATGTTCTCCTTTAGTGGTTTCACTGCATTTATAGAGTACTACTTGCAGCAAAACAGGGACTGACCATGCCTCTCAACACATCCTTCACTTTCCCCACAGTTCATAAAGCTCCACTTCGTTCTCCAGTCCAAACTCCCTCTCTCTCCCCAGCCTGGCTCCAACCAGAGTGAACTACAAAGCTAGAAACTTCAGGGGTTTTAATCCTAATACTCTGATTTTTCTTCAAAACTGTGTGGCCTGAGGTAGAAGCTTTCAAGCATTTTATGCCAAACTTGCTTTGTTATTTTCTTTTTCCCCAAAGGATTTTCCTCCAGTTTACATTTCTAACTTCCTCAATCAAGGAAGAGAGAAAAAGGAAAATGAAAAAGGATAAAAAAAGGGAAAGGCCTTATATCTTCCTCTTCCATTCCTCCAGTTATCACCTTGAGAATGTCCTAGAACCTGCTGAGTGCATGTCCTAGGGTTTTGCCCAAGGAGTGAAAGGCCCAGTAGCTGTGGGTGTACCTACTTAGGGTTCTCCTCCATAGGGTATGAAGGCAGTCACTAGGACCAAAGTCATCCTGTCCCTGTAATTCTCTGATCTCTCCCTACAGCTGAACAAATGCAGAATTACCCGTGGACTTCCTTCACTACCTTCATCTTCTCTTCCTTCCCCAGATACTTGAAACTGATATATAGTCTGGTTCCCCCACCTGCAAAATGGAAGTAAAATTATTTCTGTTTTTAAAGTGAACATATTTATCTGAGGAAGGTCAGATTTACCCTAATTCCATAACTCATACCTGCTATAAAACATTGGCAGAATGTCATGTTGTTCCCTCCACTTACTGAAAAAGGTTGTTCTTCACCTTTGACAGACCTTACAGATGCTGGGCCAATTATCCAATTATAAAAAAAAGTAAAATATTTTCCAACCTAGTCAGACCCAGGTGCAAGTATATCCTATTTTGTACCAATTCATTACTGGAAGAAGTCCACAGTAGAAAAGGAACGAATAAGAACAGAAGGAGGTCATACGTCTATTTACCCTGGTGGGCTTTTCTCAGAGGTTTCCATGGGGAATGTAATTGGCTTGCTCCTGGGGCACGTTTAATATTTCTGTACACCAATTCTGAATAACTCAAACAATGCACTTCTTTTATTACTAGGTTCAAAATCATGTTAGTCAATGACGTGACTTAAAACACCCAGAATTACCTTGCCTCAGTGGCATCTGTAACTGTTCAGCAGATCTAGGCTACCCTCTAGTGGCCAATAATTGGGAGGAAATCACCCAAACTCAGCTTGCACTGTAATTCATAAAGACTTAGTTAAGGATTTCTGCCTTCTCTCCAGCTGTGTAGAAGTGTTATTCCTCGGGATTGTTTTTTAAGATACCCCCTGTGTCTATCTTCTTGGGGGTTTTAAGGCCTCCAGTTCATTTCTTGGAGTGCAAGAAAGCAAGTCAGAGGCAGGATGAAGTGAAGAGAAAGGTGTGCTAGAGGAGGGGTGGCAAGGGTCCTTTGCCAAGGGGATAAAGAGGGCAGGCAGCTGGGATGGAAATTACAGCCACAGAGTCCAGCAGGCAGTCAAGGAGGCTGGACTTGTCTGTATCTTCTGTTATGAGCCGGGAGAGGTTTTGGGAACCCTGCAAGTATCTCTCCTACCCATCCTCAACAGGAGGCACAGAAGACTAAAGCAGCAGTCTAGAGTGTGTATCATCTCTACAGCACAGAAAAACAAGAAAGAACTCACACATATCCTGAATCCCCTTTTTGACAAGAACTAGGAAGCCTGGAGGTGTGAGTCTTTCATCTCCATCACCTCTCTCTCCCTTCATGGAAACTGATTTTTCTGCCAAGTTTCTATAGCTTCCTCAATACCATGCATTTTACTCAACAGCTTGTAAAGATCCCAGAAAGTGTTTTGGTCTGTTTTGCTTTTAGCAAATGAGAAGGATGCTGTGTTTGCTCTTTGCAAGGGCTAAGCAAATTAAGCTTAAATCTAAAAATCTCACAGCTTACTAACACCCAAGGTATACCAAAAAGCTCTTTTTCAGGTAAAAGGAAACCAGAAACACATCTCTTTGTTCATAAATCCTCTCCATGTAGCATCTGAGTAAGAATCTTGTGATTTCAGTGTTTTATATATAAATGTATTTGTTGCTTTTTGTTCCTCTCAGATTGTGTAAACTGCAAGAGACCTATTTCACCTTGTGTCGCTACTAAGTTTCAGTCACAGGAATACAGAGGTCATATGACTTTAGTAGCCAAAAATCAAAAGCTGGCCTTATTAGGAGAACAGAGTCTGGCTGCAGAATCTTTATTACTGCTAAAAACTATGCACAACAAAGTTCCTCTTGACCCTCAAAACCTCAGAATGCATTTGCAGGGTTGACAGACCATCTTTCTCCTTTCTTTCTCCTCCCTTCCTTCCCCAAAATAAAACAAACAAACTTTTTCTTGTAGAAGGAGCAGCCCTGAAAATAACATGAATATAGAAAATTCCAATTTTTACATAATTACTTCTCAGAGTACCTCAGTAGCACCAAGGCATTCACTTGCCTTCCTCACATGCACAGGCATACGAACCACAAAACAGGAAAGAAAAGTCCCGAGCTACTCATACAAAGGAAGCGATCTTGCCCTGGATGAGAGACATTGGTAGCAAGGTGTGAGTGGGGAAGAACTTCTGAAAGTAGGACACAGAGGAGCAAGATGGGCTACACTTATCCTAGCTCCTCCCCTCTAAACTCAAATAAACCAGTCATGGAAGTTGCATTGGCCAAAAAAATGTCACAGTCTATACGGATGCTGAACTGGAGGGAGAAAGTGGAGTTCATCAAGCTCCGAGTTAAGCTTCTGTCTTGACAGAAGCCATGAATGGATGCACATTTATTTGAACCTCACCTTCCTCGTTACAGCAGCACCGGGTTGGGCAGCAGACACATGGGATGTGGCAGCAGCAATACTGGGGGCAGCACTGGCACCAGCATATTCCAATCAGCAGAAGGAGAAGGAGGCCACCGAGAACGATGAGGAGTACTGTGAGCCAGTCTACAGGAAACATGGAGAAAGAGAATCCTGATGTATCTGGGCATAGTAAGTTACTGAGCACCTCTCCACTGCTGGAGACATTTGGGGTGGGGAGAAATAGAACAGGAGGAGATATCTGCCACCCAGGCAACTTACGGAGCACAATCAGCTTAACTTCTTTGTCAGCATCACCTGAGGTATCTCCTGGTGCTTCCACAGTGCAGTAGTACACACCATGGTCCCACCACATGACCTCACTGATGACAAGGTCTGCCCCTGAGGGAAAGAGTCAGCAGGTTATTTGGGACTGACAGACACTACTTTCAGGCCCCACTCTAAGAGGGCCCTTTGCCTGCAGGTGACATATGCTACTGCATCTGCTCTCTTCCCAAGCATAGCAATCATCTTCAAACAATCCCACTTGAGTCCATTGAGAACTCCTGTAAAACAGCATCAACTGCCAGTTCCTTTTTAGTTTGTGTTGCTGGAAGGCAACACTTCTTAGAAGCGGGACTAGTTCTGTGTGGAGAGAAATAACCAGCATGCTGCTGGGTGATGGGTGTTAACAGATACCCACGGCTGCCAGCCCTACTAGTTTTGGAACACAGATCACTGTCCCTGGTTAGACAGCCATCCCAATAACTCTTCTGGCAGTAACAACAGCTATTGCTTCAGAGCCATCAGGGAGCATATAAGGGACATGGACAACTTGCAGTACTTCTTCAAAGAAAGAACTGTTTCCTAGTCTCTGGAGTCCTCAGCTTACTTTTGCATTCTTCAGGAAAATGCTCAGGCATCCTCAGCTCATCCTTAGCTTGTAGTGCCTCCAACACCCTCAGGCCAGATGGAGACAGGGCCATTCACAACTCATATTTCATTGCTATCTCACAGAATATGCTACAGATGACATTAGCTGTGTTTATGCTTCTCTTCACTTGGCAGGCCCAGATTTCAGACAGTTACCAAGTTCACTCCCTGCCTGGGAGGTCAAGTCACTTACGGTTCTGAATGGTGATCTTTCGTTGCTGGTAGTCGATCCCCAGGACAGGCTCCTTCTGCCCATACTTCTGGATGACAATGCGTACCTTTCGCTGGCTGTCATTGCAGTCGTCAGATGGGTCCTGGCCAAGAGCTAGAGCAGCCTGGTATGCTACAAACACACATCATCAAATAAGATGCCAAAAGTTATTTCAAAGGACCAATTTCTATCCCCTTCTGAACAGCAGAGAAACTCTTGAATGCATGTGTGCATTTGCTTTGGCTTAGTAATACAAAGCATGGCTTCAACCCAGCAAGAACAAGTTGCTTTGGAGTACTCAAACAGAGGTAGAGCCACAGGAATGGCAGAGATTTTGAGAGGGCTGCAGAGGAGATGCCTCCTGCACTGACAACTAAGAAGCTAATGGTTGTAGGCTGGAGGGCAGCTTGCAGTAAGAAGATAAACTGGAAAGAAAAGAAGTCCCAAAACTCCCAGGAGTACTGTAAGAGTCAGCAGGTTATTTGGGACTGACAGACACTACTTTCAGGCCCCACTCTAAGAGGGCCCTTTGCCTGCAGGTGACATATGCTACTGCATCTGCTCTCTTCCCAAGCATAGCAATCATCTTCAAACAATCCCACTTGAGTCCATTGAGAACTCCTGTAAAACAGCATCAACTGCCAGTTCCTTTTTAGTTTGTGTTGCTGGAAGGCAACACTTCTTAGAAGCGGGACTAGTTCTGTGTGGAGAGAAATAACCAGCATGCTGCTGGGTGATGGGTGTTAACAGATACCCACGGCTGCCAGCCCTACTAGTTTTGGAACACAGATCACTGTCCCTGGTTAGACAGCCATCCCAATAACTCTTCTGGCAGTAACAACAGCTATTGCTTCAGAGCCATCAGGGAGCATATAAGGGACATGGACAACTTGCAGTACTTCTTCAAAGAAAGAACTGTTTCCTAGTCTCTGGAGTCCTCAGCTTACTTTTGCATTCTTCAGGAAAATGCTCAGGCATCCTCAGCTCATCCTTAGCTTGTAGTGCCTCCAACACCCTCAGGCCAGATGGAGACAGGGCCATTCACAACTCATATTTCATTGCTATCTCACAGAATATGCTACAGATGACATTAGCTGTGTTTATGCTTCTCTTCACTTGGCAGGCCCAGATTTCAGACAGTTACCAAGTTCACTCCCTGCCTGGGAGGTCAAGTCACTTACGGTTCTGAATGGTGATCTTTCGTTGCTGGTAGTCGATCCCCAGGACAGGCTCCTTCTGCCCATACTTCTGGATGACAATGCGTACCTTTCGCTGGCTGTCATTGCAGTCGTCAGATGGGTCCTGGCCAAGAGCTAGAGCAGCCTGGTATGCTACAAACACACATCATCAAATAAGATGCCAAAAGTTATTTCAAAGGACCAATTTCTATCCCCTTCTGAACAGCAGAGAAACTCTTGAATGCATGTGTGCATTTGCTTTGGTTTAGTAATACAAAGCATGGCTTCAACCCAGCAAGAACAAGTTGCTTTGGAGTACTCAAACAGAGGTAGAGCCACAGGAATGGCAGAGATTTTGAGAGGGCTGCAGAGGAGATGCCTCCTGCACTGACAACTAAGAAGCTAATGGTTGTAGGCTGGAGGGCAGCTTGCAGTAAGAAGATAAACTGGAAAGAAAAGAAGTCCCAAAACTCCCAGGAGTACTGGAACTAAAACAAAAGTATGTTAATTTACCAAACAAAATCTCCAGACATACATGAACCACTGTAGGGATTTCCCTCCTGTATCACATTTTATGTTGTGGAGCTCATACAGAAAAGAATCCATCACCTGATTCCAGCTAAGGATTACATGTAGAGAGACCCAGCAGAATTAATGGAGGGCTAGAGGCAATTTCTGTCCAATACTCTTATGACAGACTCACAATAGAAACTATTTTCTACACATTTGGGAGCTGACATTTGGGGAGACAACTGATACAGACAGTCAGCACTGTCTGTAAAGGGCTTGCAATGAAGAGAGCAGAGCACAAAACTTGTCAAAGGTTCCTCCATTGCTGTATCTACAGTGGATCATGAAGAGCAGATCTAACTAAGCTAACACTGTCATCTTCATGCTCTCTGTCCCTGTTGGGGGCTATTAGCCTGAGCCCGGGCTCAAAGCACCCACATTATGCTGGGATCAGCAGAACCAGGGACCCACCTATTGTGGACTAGGCTGTAGAGCACTTGGTAACATGCCTCCCTAACCCATCCAGAGTGCATAAAGGAATTTGGGCACCAAGTCACCAAACAGGTATCCCCATTCTGCCTATCCAGGCTCCCCATTCTGAAATCAATCTTAAGGGTGCAGTTAAGCTCAGGCTGGCCAGCTTAAATATGTTGCAGAGAGAGGAGAAGGAGTTGGAAGGGACCCACAGTGATCATCTAGTCCAACTGCCTGACCACTTCAGGACTGACCAAAAATAAAAGCATGTTATTTAAGGGCATTGTCCAAATACCTCTTAAACACTGACAGGCTTGGGGCATTGACCACCTCTCTAGAAGCCTGTTTCAGTGTTTTACCATCTTCTTAGTAAAGAAATGCTTCCTAATGTCCCATCTAAACCTCCCCTGGCGCAGCCTTAAACCATTCCCATGTGTCCTATCACTGGATACCCATCTTCTTAGTAAAGAAATGCTTCCTAATGTCCCATCTAAACCTCCCCTGGCGCAGCCTTAAACCATTCCCATGTGTCCTATCACTGGATACCAGGGAGATCAGCTTCTCTCTTTCTACTGCTCCTCCTCAGGAAGCTGTAGAGACTAGTAACATCACCCTTCAGCCTGCTTTTCTCCAAAATAGACAAACCCAAAGTCCCCAGCTGCTCCTCACAGGACATTTCTTGCAGCCCTGTCATCAGCTTCTGTATTCATTCAAAGACCTTCACATCCTTCTTAAATCGTGGGGCCCAGGACAGCACACAGTATCGAAGGTGAGGCTGCAACAATGCTAAATACAGTGGGATCTCTTTTGACTGGCTGGTTATATTGTGTTTGATGCAGCCCAGGATGCTGTTTGTATACCATCTTAAGAACTATCTTAAACACTCCTGAATTAAGGCTGCACACACCAAAACGTCTGCATATGAAATGCTGCCACCAGTATTACCTGTTATTAGTTAAAATCCTTGCTGCCCTCCAGAACGGATGTGTTTCACAGAATCACAGAATGATACAGGGTTGGAAGGAACCTCTGGAGATCATCTAGTCCAACCCCCCTGCCAAAGCAGGTCCACCTAGAGCAGGTTACACAGGAACATGTCCAGGCGGGTTCTGAATGTCTCCAGAGATGGAGACTCCACCACCTCTCTGGGCAGCCTGTTCCAGTGTTCTGCCACCCTCACAGTAAAGAAGTTCCTCCTCATGTTTAGATGGAACTTCTTATGTTCAAGTTCATGCCCGTTATCTCTTGTCCTTTCACTGGGCACCACTGAAAAAAGACTATCCTCTAAACATGATTCTGAAATCAGTAACACCTGGTCACAGGTATTTAGCTCCAATCAAAAAAGTCATAAATCATAATCATAAAGTCCACTTGTTGCAGGTCCCTTGCTTTCAAATATGCTGAAGCATAAGGTGGGGCTGCCAAGATAGACAGGTGTCTGACATCACTGAGCCTCTCTGCCTTCTGAGTTGATAACAAGGAGGACCAATGAGCTGCTTTGGCTTGGATAGCTACAACAGCATATTATAAAGCCTTGATTCTGCAAAGAAAATCACAGACATGACTTATCTTTTCTTGGAGTGCAGACAAACACTACTACCTGGCCTGGTGTGTGGGCAGGAAGAGGTCAAAAGCCTGTATTCCCCAGTTAGTCTACCTTCCCCATCCTTTCCATTTGAAGAGAGATTCCTCGGAGGACAAGCCTGACACTTACAGACTGAGTAGTAGTCAAAGATGGGGTCCTTGCAGAAGGATTTGAAGCGCCAGGTCACAACCACGTCTTGCAGCTGTGCTGAGGTGCTGTAGTCACACCTGAGGATGACACTGGCAAATAAGGTGGTATAACGTTCAGGATCCTGCACCGTCACCAGCAGGGAGAGGCAACCTGCAAATGAGATCACAGAAGGCAGTCAGCCAGCAGAAACAGACACTGCATCACAACTTTCACTCAGCACCAGACCAACAACTGAAGTACCTCTTCCTCAGCCTCGTCCAGGACCTGCACCTATGGACCTCACCAGGACCTTCACCCTCTGGTGAAGCCAGCCAGAGTTACAAATCTTGGTTAGAATGCGAGCCTCACCCTTCCCTGACAGAAAGCAGCTTCAGCCAGCTGCACTGGCCTGCCTTATGGAACTAATTTTTTTCTCCAAAGCAAGTATTAGTAGCCATTACATAGCACATCACTTGGTGCTCTCTTTCTGCATGGGGAAACCTGTCCCTCCAAGCTGGGGGAGATAGTTCATTTGGACCAGAAGCACACAGGACGGGACTGCCTTGCCTTGCCATCCTTAGCAGAGAAGTTCTGCAGCACCATTGTATAAGCACCAAATTAATTTTATTGAGGCCTCGTTAAGATAGTCATCAGAATGTTACCTAGTGGTGACCAGGACTAAGACAATACAACTTCTGGGCTGCAGCATCATAGTTAAACTTGATCTGTTTATTGCCGCTTCAGAGCACCACGTATCAATTACTCTTTTTTTTCCTTTTTAATGAAGCTATTGTTATGTATGTTTAGAACTCAACTGTAACAACCTCGACAGCATTTTCTATCCGAGAAGGTGCACCCACTGAGCAAGGTTTTACAAAGTTTCTCATAAGCTATGCTTTATTTTAGCCACACTCCAGAGACTTCTCTATCTTATTTAAACTTCGATAATACAGTAAGTTGTGCTTGTCATTAACAATAGCAAAGTTATCACCAGTCGCCTTTGATAAAGCAATACAAATAATGTGGAGCAATGTGGGATGCCCTGTCTGGAATATACCCCAGAGAACAGGGCAGGAGTTGCAGTGCTATGCTCGTTGCTTCTTAGCAGGGGAGCACAACAGCAGGAAAGGAGGGAAGGAAAGGGAGGAAGCTTGGAAGCTACCAACTGAAAGGGCCACCATGAACCAGCACTTGATTTTTATTGCATATTCAAAGACTTTCCCTCTGCAACATGTTATCATAATGACTGCAAGGGAACAAGGGACTATGTAGTAACATCTGGATCGCAACTGCAAGCATCATTCTTTCAGTGTCCTCTTAGGCTGCACCTCCACAGTATGTTCCAGGCAAATATGAGCTCACCTGTTTCCACCTGGTGGAAAACATGCTGTAGAGGTGCAATGCTGCCTCAACAAGTCATTCTCCAGTAGGGTATTGTCAGTGCCGTACTTGCCCAGTTTCTGGTTTGAAACAGACTCCTGCTCTGCCAACTCAAAGCACAGGCAGCAAACTCACTTGCTTTAAAAATACCACAAAACCACAGAAAGGACCAGGTTAAACTCTGAATCCAAGGCTTTTCTCAAAAGTAAAATATACACACATGCACTTAAAAAACAAAACACCAGCACCTCTAGCAAAACCAAGGACCTCTAGTTTTAACAATGCTGTAGCAAAGCAAGGTTCCAGACTGGTGACAGATAGCAACAGTTGCTCTTATTTAAGAGCATCGTACTTCAACACATCTTGTTTCAGCTTTCATTGTAAAATAGCTGAACTACAAGTTCTTACTGCAGGAAATCACAAGAAAACAGCCCAAAATCCAGTCTCCCAAGATGGGCAAAACCTTGATCTCATTGTCAATCAAATGAATTCTGACCTGTCAAGGCTCATGGAAACAGAACAGATTGTCCATGAGTTTCCTACAGCAGCATCTCTCTGGTAAGAATAAAATACTCAAAATCACTACATGCTTTCAGTTAGAGAAATCAAAGCTCTTTATGAAAGGGATCCTTTTTCATTACCTCTATTCTGCAAAAGAATCAACAGTTGAGAGATAAGTTCCTTATTTTCTAAGGAGGTTAAAAAACTACTGTTCCCACTGGATGACAGTCAAATGTTTCTGCATATCTGATGTTTCATACTAATGTCCTCCAAGAAAACTGAAATTAAGGCTGGTTCCTAAATTTGGACTGCATTACTCCACTGCATGCTGCTATCCTTCTTATCCTGCTTGGAAAGAACAAATCTGGACACAGGCCTATGGCTTTGCATTGAAGACATGAACCTTCAGAGCCAGTGAAGCCAAGTTTTAGCTAGAACATCATGCAGGAACATGGCTGTCAAGCAAGACAATCATAGAATCATTGAGGTTGGAAGAGACCCTTGGGATCATCGAGTCCAACCATCTCCCCTACTCTACAAAGTCCTCCCCTACACCATGTCCCTCAGCACTGCATCTAAACGGCCCTTAAACACAGCCAGGGATGGGGACTCCACCCCCTCCCTGGGCAGCCTGTTCCAATTACCAAGTTCACTCCCTGCCTGGGAGGTCAAGTCACTTACGGTTCTGAATGGTGATCTTTCGTTGCTGGTAGTCGATCCCCAGGACAGGCTCCTTCTGCCCATACTTCTGGATGACAATGCGTACCTTTCGCTGGCTGTCATTGCAGTCGTCAGATGGGTCCTGGCCAAGAGCTAGAGAAGCCTGGTATGCTACAAACACACATCATCAAGTAAGATGCCAAAAGTTATTTCAAAGGACCAATTTCTATCCCCTTCTGAACAGCAGAGAAACTCTTGAATGCATGTGTGCATTTGCTTTGGCTTAGTAATACAAAGCATGGCTTCAACCCAGCAAGAACAAGTTGCTTTGGAGTACTCAAACAGAGGTAGAGCCACAGGAATGGCAGAGATTTTGAGAGGGCTGCAGAGGAGATGCCTCCTGCACTGACAACTAAGAAGCTAATGGTTGTAGGCTGGAGGGCAGCTTGCAGTAAGAAGATAAACTGGAAAGAAAAGAAGTCCCAAAACTCCCAGGAGTACTGTTAATTTACCAAACAAAATCTCCAGACATACATGAACCACTGTAGGGATTTCCCTCCTGTATCACATTTTATGTTGTGGAGCTCATACAGAAAAGAATCCATCACCTGATTCCAGCTAAGGATTACATGTAGAGAGACCCAGCAGAATTAATGGAGGGCTAGAGGCAATTTCTGTCCAATACTCTTATGACAGACTCACAATAGAAACTATTTTCTACACATTTGGGAGCTGACATTTGGGGAGACAACTGATACAGACAGTCAGCACTGTCTGTAAAGGGCTTGCAATGAAGAGAGCAGAGCACAAAACTTGTCAAAGGTTCCTCCATTGCTGTATCTACAGTGGATCATGAAGAGCAGATCTAACTAAGCTAACACTGTCATCTTCATGCTCTCTGTCCCTGTTGGGGGCTATTAGCCTGAGCCCGGGCTCAAAGCACCCACATTATGCTGGGATCAGCAGAACCAGGGACCCACCTATTGTGGACTAGGCTGTAGAGCACTTGGTAACATGCCTCCCTAACCCATCCAGAGTGCATAAAGGAATTTGGGCACCAAGTCACCAAACAGGTATCCCCATTCTGCCTATCCAGGCTCCCCATTCTGAAATCAATCTTAAGGGTGCAGTTAAGCTCAGGCTGGCCAGCTTAAATATGTTGCAGAGAGAGGAGAAGGAGTTGGAAGGGACCCACAGTGATCATCTAGTCCAACTGCCTGACCACTTCAGGACTGACCAAAAATAAAAGCATGTTATTTAAGGGCATTGTCCAAATACCTCTTAAACACTGACAGGCTTGGGGCATTGACCACCTCTCTAGAAGCCTGTTTCAGTGTTTTACCATCTTCTTAGTAAAGAAATGCTTCCTAATGTCCCATCTAAACCTCCCCTGGCGCAGCCTTAAACCATTCCCATGTGTCCTATCACTGGATACCAGGGAGATCAGCTTCTCTCTTTCTACTGCTCCTCCTCAGGAAGCTGTAGAGACTAGTAACATCACCCTTCAGCCTGCTTTTCTCCAAAATAGACAAACCCAAAGTCCCCAGCTGCTCCTCACAGGACATTTCTTGCAGCCCTGTCATCAGCTTCTGTATTCATTCAAAGACCTTCACATCCTTCTTAAATCGTGGGGCCCAGGACAGCACACAGTATCGAAGGTGAGGCTGCAACAATGCTAAATACAGTGGGATCTCTTTTGACTGGCTGGTTATATTGTGTTTGATGCAGCCCAGGATGCTGTTTGTATACCATCTTAAGAACTATCTTAAACACTCCTGAATTAAGGCTGCACACACCAAAACGTCTGCATATGAAATGCTGCCACCAGTATTACCTGTTATTAGTTAAAATCCTTGCTGCCCTCCAGAACGGATGTGTTTCACAGAATCACAGAATGATACAGGGTTGGAAGGAACCTCTGGAGATCATCTAGTCCAACCCCCCTGCCAAAGCAGGTCCACCTAGAGCAGGTTACACAGGAACATGTCCAGGCGGGTTCTGAATGTCTCCAGAGATGGAGACTCCACCACCTCTCTGGGCAGCCTGTTCCAGTGTTCTGCCACCCTCACAGTAAAGAAGTTCCTCCTCATGTTTAGATGGAACTTCTTATGTTCAAGTTCATGCCCGTTATCTCTTGTCCTTTCACTGGGCACCACTGAAAAAAGACTATCCTCTAAACATGATTCTGAAATCAGTAACACCTGGTCACAGGTATTTAGCTCCAATCAAAAAAGTCATAAATCATAATCATAAAGTCCACTTGTTGCAGGTCCCTTGCTTTCAAATATGCTGAAGCATAAGGTGGGGCTGCCAAGATAGACAGGTGTCTGACATCACTGAGCCTCTCTGCCTTCTGAGTTGATAACAAGGAGGACCAATGAGCTGCTTTGGCTTGGATAGCTACAACAGCATATTATAAAGCCTTGATTCTGCAAAGAAAATCACAGACATGACTTATCTTTTCTTGGAGTGCAGACAAACACTACTACCTGGCCTGGTGTGTGGGCAGGAAGAGGTCAAAAGCCTGTATTCCCCAGTTAGTCTACCTTCCCCATCCTTTCCATTTGAAGAGAGATTCCTCGGAGGACAAGCCTGACACTTACAGACTGAGTAGTAGTCAAAGATGGGGTCCTTGCAGAAGGATTTGAAGCGCCAGGTCACAACCACGTCTTGCAGCTGTGCTGAGGTGCTGTAGTCACACCTGAGGATGACACTGGCAAATAAGGTGGTATAACGTTCAGGATCCTGCACCGTCACCAGCAGGGAGAGGCAACCTGCAAATGAGATCACAGAAGGCAGTCAGCCAGCAGAAACAGACACTGCATCACAACTTTCACTCAGCACCAGACCAACAACTGAAGTACCTCTTCCTCAGCCTCGTCCAGGACCTGCACCTATGGACCTCACCAGGACCTTCACCCTCTGGTGAAGCCAGCCAGAGTTACAAATCTTGGTTAGAATGCGAGCCTCACCCTTCCCTGACAGAAAGCAGCTTCAGCCAGCTGCACTGGCCTGCCTTATGGAACTAATTTTTTTCTCCAAAGCAAGTATTAGTAGCCATTACATAGCACATCACTTGGTGCTCTCTTTCTGCATGGGGAAACCTGTCCCTCCAAGCTGGGGGAGATAGTTCATTTGGACCAGAAGCACACAGGACGGGACTGCCTTGCCTTGCCATCCTTAGCAGAGAAGTTCTGCAGCACCATTGTATAAGCACCAAATTAATTTTATTGAGGCCTCGTTAAGATAGTCATCAGAATGTTACCTAGTGGTGACCAGGACTAAGACAATACAACTTCTGGGCTGCAGCATCATAGTTAAACTTGATCTGTTTATTGCCGCTTCAGAGCACCACGTATCAATTACTCTTTTTTTTCCTTTTTAATGAAGCTATTGTTATGTATGTTTAGAACTCAACTGTAACAACCTCGACAGCATTTTCTATCCGAGAAGGTGCACCCACTGAGCAAGGTTTTACAAAGTTTCTCATAAGCTATGCTTTATTTTAGCCACACTCCAGAGACTTCTCTATCTTATTTAAACTTCGATAATACAGTAAGTTGTGCTTGTCATTAACAATAGCAAAGTTATCACCAGTCGCCTTTGATAAAGCAATACAAATAATGTGGAGCAATGTGGGATGCCCTGTCTGGAATATACCCCAGAGAACAGGGCAGGAGTTGCAGTGCTATGCTCGTTGCTTCTTAGCAGGGGAGCACAACAGCAGGAAAGGAGGGAAGGAAAGGGAGGAAGCTTGGAAGCTACCAACTGAAAGGGCCACCATGAACCAGCACTTGATTTTTATTGCATATTCAAAGACTTTCCCTCTGCAACATGTTATCATAATGACTGCAAGGGAACAAGGGACTATGTAGTAACATCTGGATCGCAACTGCAAGCATCATTCTTTCAGTGTCCTCTTAGGCTGCACCTCCACAGTATGTTCCAGGCAAATATGAGCTCACCTGTTTCCACCTGGTGGAAAACATGCTGTAGAGGTGCAATGCTGCCTCAACAAGTCATTCTCCAGTAGGGTATTGTCAGTGCCGTACTTGCCCAGTTTCTGGTTTGAAACAGACTCCTGCTCTGCCAACTCAAAGCACAGGCAGCAAACTCACTTGCTTTAAAAATACCACAAAACCACAGAAAGGACCAGGTTAAACTCTGAATCCAAGGCTTTTCTCAAAAGTAAAATATACACACATGCACTTAAAAAACAAAACACCAGCACCTCTAGCAAAACCAAGGACCTCTAGTTTTAACAATGCTGTAGCAAAGCAAGGTTCCAGACTGGTGACAGATAGCAACAGTTGCTCTTATTTAAGAGCATCGTACTTCAACACATCTTGTTTCAGCTTTCATTGTAAAATAGCTGAACTACAAGTTCTTACTGCAGGAAATCACAAGAAAACAGCCCAAAATCCAGTCTCCCAAGATGGGCAAAACCTTGATCTCATTGTCAATCAAATGAATTCTGACCTGTCAAGGCTCATGGAAACAGAACAGATTGTCCATGAGTTTCCTACAGCAGCATCTCTCTGGTAAGAATAAAATACTCAAAATCACTACATGCTTTCAGTTAGAGAAATCAAAGCTCTTTATGAAAGGGATCCTTTTTCATTACCTCTATTCTGCAAAAGAATCAACAGTTGAGAGATAAGTTCCTTATTTTCTAAGGAGGTTAAAAAACTACTGTTCCCACTGGATGACAGTCAAATGTTTCTGCATATCTGATGTTTCATACTAATGTCCTCCAAGAAAACTGAAATTAAGGCTGGTTCCTAAATTTGGACTGCATTACTCCACTGCATGCTGCTATCCTTCTTATCCTGCTTGGAAAGAACAAATCTGGACACAGGCCTATGGCTTTGCATTGAAGACATGAACCTTCAGAGCCAGTGAAGCCAAGTTTTAGCTAGAACATCATGCAGGAACATGGCTGTCAAGCAAGACAATCATAGAATCATTGAGGTTGGAAGAGACCCTTGGGATCATCGAGTCCAACCATCTCCCCTACTCTACAAAGTCCTCCCCTACACCATGTCCCTCAGCACTGCATCTAAACGGCCCTTAAACACAGCCAGGGATGGGGACTCCACCCCCTCCCTGGGCAGCCTGTTCCAACGAGTCCAACCATCTCCCCTACTCTACAAAGTCCTCCCCTACACCATGTCCCTCAGCACTGCATCTAAACGGCCCTTAAACACAGCCAGGGATGGGGACTCCACCCCCTCCCTGGGCAGCCTCATCAACAAGCATACCTCCTTTTTTTTTTTTTCTTCTTTTACTGGTTCCCTGTGAAAAACTGTACTTTGGTATTTAAAGCTACATCATCAGCAAAGACCCGGGCATCCAAGAAGCAAAATCATAGTCATGGAATGATCACTGCATTTCCTTACAGGAGGCCAGAAGCTGTCACGCAACCTGCAAAGCTTGGCAGAAAGGTGGCCTGTGGACACGGAGGCGAGCTCCCGTTCTCCATGTATCTAGCAGGTACGGGAGGGCTGCAGCTACACCTCATCCCCCAAGTGTCTGGGGCTGCTGAGCTAGCAGGGGTGGGCCCTTGTGAGGGAACCCCTCCGTGGCCATTCCCTGTGCTTAGGTCCAAACCAAGCACGACCGAAACTGGAGCCTGCCAGGAAGCAGGCGGCCACTTCCTCCTAGGAGAGCAGTTAGCCGCACCTTTAGGGTAACGAAACTCCCCTCCGCATGGCTTTCCACCCGAGCTCGGGGAGCGGGGAGGGTCACCACGGGGGGGAACAACCCTCGCCCGGCCCGGGCCTCTCCTTCCCCTCGCCGCGGGGCCGCCGCCGCTCCCCCCCACGCTAACCCAGGGCGAAACCCGACGGCGCCTCCCGGGCCCTCGGCGCCCTGTGCCACTCCGGTGTGGCCCCGGGCAGGGAGGGGAGACCGGGACCCCACCGCCGCCGAGCAGTCCGACTCACCGGCCGGCAGGCAGGCCAGCAACAGCGCCCACCGGCAGCACCCCCGCGGGGCCATGGCGCTGCCTCCTCCTCCTCCTCCGCCCGACCGGGATCGTCCGCGCCGGGCCACCCCGCCGCGCCCACAGGCCCTCCCCTTCCCGTGGCACCTGTCCCGGGGCCGGGCTGCCTGTCCCCTCCCTCCGCGGCCCCTCGCCGCCCGCCCGGCGGCAGGTACGCCCTTCCCTCCTCCTCCCTGCAGCCGAAAGACAAAATGCCGGCCGCCGGCTTCAGAAACTGCTAAAAAAAATAATTAGAAAAAAAAATCACATATAAAATGGGCACACAGGTGTATGGGAGGGTACGGGCAGAGGTTAGGTGGTTTCGCCTGAGCTCTGGCCGTCCGGGGAAGGAAACACGCCGTACCCGGCCGGCGCCCGGGAGTGCTCGCTTCGTCTTGCGGGCAGAAAATTTAAGGAATTAATTTCGTTTTCCCACTGAGTTCTGACGAGAAGGCAACGGTGGCTCAAAGAATCATAGAATCGTCCGGCTCGGAAGGGACCTTAAAGATCATCGAGTCCAACCATCAGCCCAACACTGACACCACCACCGCTAAACCACGTCCCTCAGCACCACCTCTACCCGTCTTTCAGACACCTCCGAGGGATGGCCATTCCGCCACTGCCCTGGGCAGCCCGTTCCAACGCTTCCACCACCGCTAAACCACGTCCCTCAGCACCACCTCTACCCGTCTTTCAGACACCTCCGAGGGATGGCCATTCCGCCACTGCCCTGGGCAGCCCGTTCCAACGCTTGATAACCCTTTTAGTGAAGAATTTTTTCCTGATATCCACCCCAAACCTCCCCGGGCGCAACTTGAGGCCGTTTCCTCATCTCCTATCGCTTGTTACTGGGGAGACCGACCGACCCCTCCTTTTAGGCAGTTGTAGAGAGCGGCAAGGTCTCCCCTCCGCCTCCTTCTTCTCCAGGACAAACAACCCCAGCTCCCTCTGCCGCTTTCACGCCAAAAAAACCCCACCAACCCCTCCGGCTTATGGCGGAGCCGGCGCTGCGGTGTGCCCCCCCCCAAGGCCCCGGCCCTCACAGCGGGTAACGGCCGCCGGCAGGTGCCAGCCCCCGCGCGCCCGCGCACGCGCCGCTCCCGCCCCGCTTCCGCGCCTCGCGCGCCGGTTGCCTGGAAACCGGCAACGCCGCCATGGAGGCGGCCCCAGGTACGGGGGGTGTAGTGGGGATGGTCGGGTCAGGGTCCGCTCCGAGCCCGCACCGCACCGCACCGCATCGCCCCTCCGAGGGGGGGAGGGGGGGCTCGCGGGCCCCCGCCCTGTCCCCGCGTCCCACGGATCTGCCCCCCAGTAGCCGCTCCGCTCCTCGTGCACCCGCCGCTGCCGGGACGTCCCCTCACAGCCCCGCGCCTCGCACCCCCCGCCATGGCACCTCGCAGGCTCCCTTCCCTCCTCTCCCTGAGGTGCTGCGGGTGTCCCCTGCGCGCCTCTTTGCTGTCCCCTGCAAAATAGCCGGTCATGGGACGCTTCTGCTCCGCCATGGCCTGTTCCTGGTGCCCGGGTGGAAGGCGGCCTTGGAAGAGTCAGGCAGAGGCGGCGCTGGGCCTGCACCTCTGTGCAAGGCCGGTGCCATCACCTCTGCGTGCTGAAATCTGTGTGGGACCAGTCACCCTACACAGAGGCTTTTGGAAAACAGAAGCCTCTATTCTCATGTAGATACTTAGCTGAAAAGTGAAACAGGAATGAATATTCTAGTGCTGAGATAGACCACCCCATACTTCATTTGAAATGTTGCTCTTGTTGATTTTGCTTTACCACGTGTGAGGCAGTTAATTTTATTACCTGTTGCATTTGTGGCACTGTCCCCATGTTCATTTTTATGATTTTCCTGTATGCTGTAAGTTAATAAGTAACTGTGGTGATGTCACCTGATCATGTTTCTGCTTAATAAAAACCCAGTCACCTTTATTCACAAGGCAGACTTTAAGAGACTTGAAACTCTTGCTTGCATGAGACAGAGCTAGGACATCCGGATCATACAGAGGACTACTTTAGTTGTAAGGCTGGAAATTAGGTTTTATTTCTTCTAATTTTATAGGAAAATATTTTGAATGTGTGCAACATGGTGATAGAGAGGTTCTAAGCAGGGCTGTCTTGTCCACTTTTCCCTCTTTGATAGTGGGGGAGGAAAGAGACAATGGGCTTATGATAAAGGCAATGTGTCTAGATCCTGCTATGTAGCTTTATCCTTGCCGTCTCAGTCTCCAACTAGTAAATAATTTATATACTTAACTGCTCGAGAATTGATATGTTCTGTTATTGTCCTTGCTCTCAAGTCGTCTAACTATCGTAAGAGAGGCAGCAATATTCTCTAGTACAAAAAATTTCTTCTTTGGGATTTTGGGTCAATTGCCTGAAACTGACTTTTATTACTGATTTTGTAGTAATGCCGACTGATAATGATACACAGACAGCACTGGATAGCTATGCCTCATTTACACTTGGATATTTTTCTTTGTGTATAGAAGCACTAAAAGACTTTAAATTTTTCTGAATGAAAGTAAGTTTTGCAAAACTCCACTGCTCGCACATGTTGCGCTCAGCAGCAGCCCAGTAAATCGCTGATATGCTCTAGTGTGGCCTGAAGGCTAAAAGGAATGCTTAGAGAGTTGTTCAATGGCATGCTGGTTTTCGTAAAGAAATGGAAGACTCAGAAAAAAAACTGTTGAGGGGACTGTTTCTGAAGATGAGCTAAACAAGCAGGACTTGGCAGATGGGAAGAAATCTGATGCATCCAAAGCAGAGGTAGACTTGAAGAAGTTGCGTTGGCCTGAAACAAATGATTAGCCTGTAATTCCTCAGGGCAGTCACGCCTCATGATAAGCCAAACATTGCAATCATTACATCAGGCCAGTGTTACACCCAGGCCAGAAAGCGAGCAGAGGGTAGTCTGTATGGCTCATGGTATGGTGGATTGGAAGCAATGAAGCAAAATGAATTCCCGGGACAAACTGAGTTCCTTCATGTGGAATAAAGACAAGTAAAGGAATAACACACAAGACAACCTCTCCTGAAGGAAAGAAAAAGTTACTTTTTTTTTTTCAAAGCCCACCAGCAGCCAAACCTTTTCTGTAAAAAATTGCACGTTTTGGAATGAACCAAAAAATGAAATCCTGCAGAAGTAGCACAGTGTAGAGATGAATTTTTAATCTCTTGTTTAGTACCGGTACTGATGGCACTGTAATTACCTTCTGCAGTAATAGTTCTCTATTTCTACATATCCTGAATTAGTGGACAAAACTCACTCACCTGAGGTGAGGTAGGTGATGTCTTTTAAGCACAGTCACACAATTAATGGTGGGGCAGATGGCTTAAAATAATAACTATTAGATATGTTCAGTTTCTAAAGGAAAACCATAGGTCATGTTTTGATCATTATTTAATTTGATGCATTTTATGCAGTTGAAGTATCAGTCATGGGGTTTATGAAGGCAAGCACTGCATTTATGAAGCTTACACACTTAAACACCTATATTTTCTGGAAAGAGGAAAAATGTAGGATGACAAAATATAAAGGAAGTGGTGTCATCTCAGTGAATTTGTGTTATCAAATAAATACCCCTTTGATTTAATTATCTTGTATTTTGAATAAATGGGTCGATTATCTGAGACAATAAATCTCTTAATGTCCAAATTTACTGAGAATTTTTGAGAAGCTTCCGTATATAAGGATTTTGCGTGACAGCAAAATTGCCAAGAAACATCTTAGTTCTGGAATAACTGAAAGAATATACATGAATGAACACATTTTTCTATTCTGAGATGAGCTGTGGTTTTTAGGAACATAGCTAAGAGAAAGGCAATTTGAAAGAAAATTAAACTTAGCTGAAATTCACAGCTTATAGCACTGGGCACTGACACAAAGACAATCCGAATTCACTCCTGAGCGAGTTCTTAGAAAGTGAAGTGGTGAAACTGATGTGGATCTGGTACAGTGTTTCAGGTCAGTTTCTTGAATTATTAAGACACGGGGGGAAAAGTAATACCATTCTGGTCAGGCACAGTGTATAATTATGGTTGGCAAAAATGTCTGTTTGCCAACTTGGTTTTTTTTTCCCACTTCACACCTGTTCTACTTGGCACTATCTCAGTTTTCAGTATCAAAAGCCTTAATTCTAGCTTATATAGGAAAACTGTCTCAAAAAAAAAAAAACCAGGAAAAAAAAACCCAGCATTCAGAGAGAAGCATGCCTTTGTCACAGGGAACTTATACAAAAGTTTTCTGGATCACTCAGCCCTTGAAACTCAGAATCTGCGATCAAAGTAGATGTGTGCCCCCTTTGAGCCTCCTCAGAGTCTTTAATTTCAAAATTTGTTTTGGCACAGTGCTTGAATACCATCACAGTAATAGGCACAGTGAACATTGCAATAGCTTGCTTTAACTAGAACCCAGATATCAACGCAGGCGGAAATGTTCATACTCTCTTTCAGCCTAAAGCATTTTCCAGATAGGAATTAATTTATAATGAAAACTATGATAGTCTTAATTTTTAGAAGATAAATGATTGCTAATTAGTTACAATAATTTGAAATTTTATAGCACTTTTCTCTATGGATATCAAAACACTTTGCTAAGATGGGTAAGTATTAATATCCCATTTTTCACAAGAGATAACTGAGACAGCCAGAGGTGAAATGGCTGGTACAAATTGTACACGTCATTACCGGGCTTGGAATTAGAATTCAGGTCTCTGAACACTCCACTATATATTTATGCAACTAGTCTGTAACTATTTCTTCAGCTTAGTGATATCGGTTCTGTTACCTCATTAAAACTCATTAATTTCATTTAAATATATTGAGATATATTGCAACTGTTTTCTTTTGATTTGTTTTTGGAATGTGAAACTTTCTGCATGTCTATTTTCAAGGTTTTCTCAGCAGTCTTGAGGGGTAAAAACTAATTCTTAAATGAAATTATTCAGGAAGGTCAGTTTCTGGTAGAGACTTTGAACCTTTGGATGAAGATTTAGTAGGGCAGGTTGACTATATAATGACAAGAATGACATGTCTATAATATTTCTTTGCTCTCAGTGTCCTTCTGGTGGATGGCATTATGTTT